TTTTTTTAATTGTATTTTGTTTTATCATATTTTATTTTATTTAAATTAATTTTATTCATATTTATCCAATTTTAATTGATATAACTTATTTTATTTCATTTAATTAAGTTAGTTAAGTTTAAAGGAAGATACCTTTTTTTCATTTACTTTAATTTAAATTAATCTAATTTTAATTTAGGTTATATTATTTTAATAGAAACTCAAAAAGAAAGTGACGTCATTTTTGATGTATTTAAAAGTTGTGAGAGTTTTTCCGAAAATTTGATGTTTTATGAAAAAAGAGGTAGTTTCAATAATTCTAAAACTAATAATATACACCAAATCAATTGACATCCCTACAGATTACAGTGTTGTATATTAATTTTGTTGTATTTTTCCATAACTACATGCGATCCAATTATTAATTTGAAATCAATTAAGCAGCCTAAAAAGCGGAACATTTGCAATTCCAAATTTTCTTAAACACTCACTATAATTATGTACGTGTTAAAATAAATAGGTCTCATTTAAATAGTTTACCAGTAAATGATATATTATTTCTGTTATTTTTGCACATCATACAAATCACATAAATTTAGTATTTATTTATAATAAAAAGTCGTGAATGGACCTCAGAATTTTCCATAAATTTTCACAATTTTGTGAGATGTGAAATCGAAACAGTGACAGGTGGATTTATTGTCATTGATGTGGAATAATTTACCGAAAACAAAAGAAGAGTCCGTTCTTCATATTCCAAGCAGTTCCCGAATAGCAGGATGAATTTGCAGATCGCTCCAAATACAATTATTTTAATAGAAATAGTACTGGTACTGGTTTTTGCAGTGCGAGAAAGCGAAGGCGCTAAAAGAGTAAGTAAAGTATATATAACTTTTACCTTATTTTATTTCATTTAACTAATTATTTTTTGTATTTTTTAATGTATTTAATTTTTTTAATTTCATTTATTTTTTATTATTTTTTATTTTTTTAATTTTATTTCATTTCGTTTTATTTGATTGTTTTATTTTATTTTACTTTATGCTTTTTATTAAATTAAATTGTATTTCATTGTATTGTATTTTTATTTAATTGATTTGGTTTTTTTAATTTTAATTTAAGTTTTTTTTTATTTTATTTCATTTTTTTAATTTTGTTTAATTTTCTTTAATTTTATTTTTTTTAAATAACTCTTAACTATTTCATTGTATTTCTTTTTCATTCTAATTTAATTTATTTTATTTTAAATATTTTATTTCATTATAATATAATTTAACGTCAATTAATTTGTCTTAATTTTCTTCTGTTAACACTAAATCATTTCACTTGTTTTTATTCTATTTTCAATTTCATGTTTTATTCTATAATGTTTTTAGTTAGACTTGTTTGTCTTTTCTTTCAGCACCAGGTCACTGTACTCTTTCACCGTGTAGATTGCCTAATTTACGACACCGCGAGGGTGTCATTATTTAATTGCTCTTTGGTCAAAGATAATATAACCGGAGAGCTGGTGCTAAATGCAAATCTCAAACTCTCAAAAGAGCTCAATGAATTTAAATTAAAAAATACGATGGTACTCAATCGTACTGGCATAATTCAGAAATTTTATGATGTCGAAATTGATGTTTGCGAGGCGCTGAGTCAACGTTTCGACTTTTACCTATATCGCATGGTCATCAATGAGGTGCATAGGATATCGAATATTCCACTACAGTGTCCGATAAAAGATGTGAGTTTGATTAAGTCACAAATAGAGTTTAGTTTTGTGGAATTCCTAATTCTTTTTTGCAGAACTTTTTCTACTACTTGCGCAATTTCACAATCAATTCGAAATATTTTCCACAATTCTTACCGAATTTGGAATGGTCGTCTTATCATAATATCACTAAGAACAAACGTGTTTTGCTATCATTAAATGCTTACGGTTCTTTGGTGCGAAGAAAGAAATAGGAAATGCAATATAATTTTTAATTGAAATAAAAACTGTTTGATTTAATTTAATTGGGATTTATGTTCTTCTCCCTAAATGGTTTTTGTTGCTTTCAATATCGCTCGTAACTGTACTTGTTATTTTCACTAGGAAGTATAAAATCCTTAAGTTTTCAACATCAACGCTCTCAGGAACTAACCAGCGGATTACTGGGTCTGTAAAATACCTGAGACTCACCCTCGTGAGGAAATTAGTAGGCCTCAGAACTCAGAGAAAAGGGTGCGCAATGCGTTTATTGTCCTCTATTTCTCCAAAGGTACGGTAGGCCGATATGGAACATGCCACTCAAAGAGCGTAGGTCTATACTTCTCTATGGGGTTGTAGTTCGGCACTTGAGAAATAATTAGTTATCTACAAATTCGATAGAGTACAGAGGGTAGCGCACCTTGGTATCAGCGTAAAAACTCTATACCACACTAACTGAGGCTATCAATGCTCTCTCAGATCTACTCCCTATTGACTCTGCACAATGTTGCATGCGCCGCGGTAAGGCCACAAATGTCATCTGAATGGATAGTAATAAAGCACGCGCGCATCTTAAGAAGATTCCGTCTATCAGAAAAAACGGATTAACGCATATCTGTAAATTCTTTCATTTACTGCATCACTTTAGTCTTTTTCAAGCGGAGTTGGTGGCTATACATGAGGCTGCACTCGGAAAACCGTTTCCATATTTTTTCGCATAGCCAGGCTGAATCACGAGCTGACTTACTCGATACCTAAGCAGTGCTGTCTAAAACTTTTAAGGGGCTGTCACCCTTTTGGCCCGTTTAGGTCAGGTAACTTTAGTTTAAGAGAGCTAAGGGGGCTTATTTAATATAAAGAAGTCTTAAATCATGTAATGTGGCAAAGACTATATAGAGAGAATGGAAAAGTAGAATGTCACGTGACCTTATCGAGTTGAATAGGAAGGAGATGTCTACAGTTTTCGGTTTTCTTATAGGACATATCTTATTGGGCAGGTACACAGATAGATTAGGCGTGCCATCTAATGATTTAAACAAAAAAAAACCTGAAACTTTAATGCACTTTCTCAGCGAATGCACCGCAATTTTGGAGGAGTAGGTTGAAGTCTCTAGCGGCGGCAACCTTTGAAGACCTGAACGACATAGCGGGGCAGACCTGAATGTGATAGCCCAAGACGACTGCTCAGTTTTGCTAATTCCGCACACTGGTTCGATTTGCGGATGATGGACCCTCAGTGGTATCACAATGGGCTCGCTTTGGCCCTGAGTGAGCTGATGCCTGAAACCCACATCAACAAACCAACCAAATAGCTCAACGCTAATCTATCTTTATAGCTTTCCAGTAAGTCCCATTCAATAAGGTAAGTTGTTGTGGTTAAATATCTTGAAACCCCCAGAACAATTTGTTTATATTTGATTTCCTTTTATATTTAATTTTTTTTTTACCTTTCTTTTTTTTCAGTATATTTCATTTTAATTTATTTATTTCAACTTTATTTCATTAACTTAAATATACTTTTTAATTTTTTTTGGTTAACTTAATTCTGTGTTCGTGTAATAATATTTTATTTTTACTTTTATTATTTAATTGAGTCTAATTTTTAATTTATTTTTTTTTTCATATTGAGATATTATTTTACTTTGTTTTATTTAATAAAATTCAATTTATATTAATTTTATCTCATTTTATTTACTTCATTTTATTTTTCTCTTTTATTTTTAATTTATTTTATTTTGTTTTACTTTTAATTTTATTTTAATTTATTTTATTTTATTTTATTTTATTTTATTTTATTTTATATTATTTTATTTTATTTTATTTTATTTTATTTTATTTTATTTTATTTTATTTTATTTTATTTTATTTTAATTTATTTTATTTTATTTTATTTTTATTTATTTTATTTTATTTTATTTTATTTTATTTTATTTTATTTTATTTAAACTCATTTTGTTTTATTTTAAAGATTTTACTTTGTTTTATTTTAAATTGTTTTTCTTTATTTTTTGTACCTTATTTATTATTTATTATTTTTATTTATATTTTTATTCTATTTCATTTTGTTTTATTTTTTTTTCATTTATTGGTTTTGATTTAATTTTTGTTCTTAAAATTTATTTAATCTAAATTTCCTTATTTTATATTATTTTATCCTATTTTTTGTTTGTTTGAAATAATGTTTTCCTTTCGCTTAACTTAATTAAGTGAAAAATGCAAAAGTTTCAATGTCAAATATTTTAGTCGCCAACAGTTTGCATTTTTTTGATTTTCTGAAATTGTTTATTAGGAAATTCAAATAATATATGTATATATGTATGATAAAAAACCATCGAAAAGTGGTGATGAAGTTTGAAACTAAAAGTTTGCTGGAGTGGAATGCTATTTTTTATGTTTATTTTTATTTTTTGTTGCTTTGCACAAAAAAACCCGAGCAAACCAAAATCCGCCTACTACATTTTGTATAAATTTGCATTTAATTTTGAAACTCAAAAACGAACTCTCAACACTTTATTAACAACAGCGTAATGAATATTGAATTTTTTATTGTTTCTTTTTTCTTTTTTTTTCTTTTTATCATTTAATGAAAAATGAAATAATACACATAAGCACAATTCAAAACTAAACTAAGTCAATCACATTGCTATCGACTGACTAATGCCAAAATAGAAATGCTCCGCTTTCTGACGTTGTTCACACCTTCAACAAATTACAATAATATTAATACTTTGTCTTTTTGATAATTACATATGTACATATATTTAAATAAAACAATTTCTGCATGACCTTTATGGCGTGGTTAGTTTGTTTGTATGTATGTGTGTGTGTCTAAATGTAGTTATGCTTATGTATATCAGGTTCGCGTCACACTTTTAGTTTATGGCAATTAAGAGAATTTTGGCCGTTTCGGTCATAGTTATTATTATTATTAATATCACTTTGTTTTATTTGGTAAATTTGATCGTAAACATTTTATTGCATTTTTTCGAGGGAAAAAAAAACTGAAATAAAAATTTCTATTTTGCATTTTTATATTGAAATATTTCTCGTATAAATTTAGCTGCAACTTGATTTCAGACAACAGAAAGCATTTGATTTGCAAACTGATACAATCAATCACCGTTAACAAGCTCCAACGACAAAATGCGTGCATTCATAGTAAGTCAAAGAAGGATAACAACAATGTGTACAAAATCTAATAACAATAAATTTATCTTTTTCTCTTACGCAGATCCTCTGCTCTGTCATCTCCGTGGCCTACTCAGCCAGTCTGGGCTATAACTACGAAAGCAATCATGGTCCAGTTCTAAGCGCTCCCAGCTATGGTGGCCAAGCACTCGCTGGTCCCAGTTATGGTGGCCCTGCTGCTGCTGGTCCCAGCTATGGTGGTCAAGGTTTAGCTGGTCCCAGCTACAGTGCGCCCGCTGTACCGGAGGTTAACAAAGAATACTTCACTTATACTGCTCCCGAATATGAGTTCAACGACATCGGCGATGCTAGTCAATACGCCAATTCGTTTAAGAAGGGCTTGCGTGTGATCTTCATTAAGGGACCTGAAAGCTCTGGTCTCGAGAATGCCGCTCTCCAATTGGCCAAATCTGCCAATAATGAGCGCACTGCTATTTATGTGCTCAACAAGCAAGCTGACATCGGTGACTTGGCCAACAGATTGAACTCTCTCAACAATCGTAATGCTCACAAACCCGAAGTGCACTTCGTCAAATACCGTACCCCAGCTGATGCTGAGAATGCCAAGCAGGCTATTCAATCACAATACGATGATTTGGGTGGCCGTACTAGCAGCTACAGCAGCGGTGTTGCTCCAGTTTTGGATTTCGCTTCGAAGCCTGTCGCCCCAGTTGCACCAGAGAGCTCCTACTTGCCACCAAACAAGGTTTAAGGGAGTCTTAAATGTGTTTTATAGTTTTGTTGTATGGTTTCGCGGCACGATTTGTTTTATATTGATTAAGTTTTAGTATTCATTGTTAACTAAATGTATAAGTTCCTCTGTAAATAATTTCATACGTTTCGAATGAAGAGATAGATGACGTTGAAATACATACATATATATTACATTATACCGAAAAGCATAAATATTTTGTAATTTCTTTTTGTTTACTTCTCACATGGGAAATAAATCAGTCCGATGGCTGCCTGATAGTATGGTATGATTAACAGAGTTATCTGGACGATTTTGCCAGTAGACTTGGTGTTCACATACACTCAATTAAAGAGTAATAATTAATGTTTCACAACTGATATTTTTTTTGAAAAGTACAATTAAATTATTTTAGGTTATAATCAATAAAATGAACCAAGGCAACGGATGAAAGTCGACGTATTTAAACGGAATATCCGTACATTAATTGGGAAGGTGCCGATGACCAACTGGTTGATATTATCCATAAAATAAAGGCTAACATCCCCGCCGTTCACAAAGTAGGATGGGCAGGACAAGGACAGAAAGCGAGCAGATCGTCGGAAAATTTACTTTAGCGCGCCCATATAAAGAAGTGCAAATTTGATGTTGAATTTGTGGTGGGAGAGAGACTCCGTTGCCGAGTACTGGCATTCACTCCGGTGGATGAGCGTCTCAACAAAATTAATTTTCCATACATCGACGAATGGGAAGGACGATGTAACGAAGGATATTTTATATGAGCGACTGGAACGGTTGACGTTCTTAAAGCCAGGATGGGCAAAGAAGAGCTTTTGGACACTACAGTCGGGCAAGTCAGTCTCCATGACTACACATGCCCAAACGGCCTGAGGCTGATTGCCTTCACCGCATCCGAAAAATGGTTATGTCTAGTACTAGATTTCCGCATAAGAAAAAAAAATAACAAAACAAATCAAGCTATACTGCTGCTGTTGGATCGCGCAATCAAATCGGTCATATTGTGACTGAGGGAAAACATGTTCCGCGTGTTTTAAATGCGCGTACATTCCGAGAACCTAACATGAACTCAGATCACAAACTTGTAGCAGCAAAGATGAACATCCATCGCTGTGCAGCCAATAACGACGATCAACTAACACAAGTAAGGTTCGACGTCGAAAAGCTACAATCACTACACACAGCCGAATACTTTTCCAAACGAGTTGCATACCTGCTTTTGGAGAGCACTCGTACGCACCGCCGCTACATACCGCTGCTTCTAGAAGTAAGTATTGCATCGAATGTCTTCTAAGCTGAAGTGATCTCCACCCAATCGTGCGACCTCGCCAGCGTAGCCACAATTTCATGCATTTTGGAAATTTTTATTTCGTATGGCTCATCGTTTTATCGGAAATTTGACCTTCTTTCGAAAACCCCTTATGCCGCCCAAACTTTTGCCGAAACAGAAGTTCGGAAATTTTGTTGAGCGTCATGCAGAGAACAAACTTTACTTTAATTGACAACTCAGTGATGCTGTATTGGATTTCTAGGCTGTAATTGTTGTTGGTGGTGATGTTGATTACTGGATAGAGTAAATTATCTGTCACTTTGAAGTTATGACTCTCAACAGTGACATAGTAATCGAAAGGTGAATGCACTAACCTTGCTTCCTCATACCATCTGGAAGACGTAGTGACTATTAATGGCGCTTTCCTCTACTTCTGTTTAGCTCTGCAGCTACTATTAACTTCCCCAGCAATGAATTTAAAGACTCTCTCTAACTGTAACATCATTTAGTACCAAACGGCTTAGACAGACCCTTCCCAATTTTGGTAATGCTGCTGGTGTTATTGGTGACTTGCTCAGTTCCTGCCGCCTTATTCATCTTCAGGCGCATTATGGCTATACGAACTTCATCCTGGTCTGCTAATGAAAGGCAATTTCCTTCATTATCTATTGGGTGTTCGGGTTCACCATCTCCCAGTGGCTCACGGCCATTAGGCTCCAGCATAACCTCACTGTACTCTGGGCATTGGTGCCTACCTTTATATAAATTTGAGTTTACAATAAATTTGTCGTTAAAATACGTTGAGGCCTTGAATACTCAAGCGCTTAACAATAGACCCAATTTAAATGGGATCCTGTTCCCATAGAAAGAATTTAATTGCAAAAATTTATAAAACAATTTATTTAGCCTACACACGCAAAAAAGAAACACACATACATATATATTTACATTCATAAATTAATTAGGAAATAAAATGATTTATTTTCACTGCGCTGGCGGCAAATAGTCCAAAGGTGAGGACGTCGCAACGGGCTGCGGAGCAACACTCTCCTGTGCAGGAGCCGCACGTGGCTCTATGATCGCAGCGGGACTAACGAAATTTTCTGTTTTCGCAACACTTTCGAAATTGAAACGATTGGGACCGTTCAAAGCTTCATATTGAGATTGAATTGTGCGCTGTGCCTGTTCCGCCTCGTGACGTGTACGATACTTGATAAAGATGACTTCGGGTTTTTCTTTTGCAGCGCCTGGCTGTTGTTGCAGCTTTTTAGCCAACTCGGCGGCACTATGTTGTTTCGTCAGCACATAAATGGCGGTCTGCGGCTGCTGTGCATCCTTCACCAATTGCAGTGCGGCCTTTTCAAGACCAGTCTGTGCCGGCGCCTTGATGAAAACTATACGAAGATTCTTCTTCATTTTTCTCAACTGATCATCGAAGTCGGCGGGTAGCTCGTAGTTTTCTTGCGGTGCTGCGAGATAATAGAATTCCTTATTGTAGTATGTGGCCTGTGGTAAGTGCGCTGGGGCAGGTGCAGGTGCAGGATGATAGTGTGTTGGTTGCGACGCCTGTAGGATTGGTTGTAGTGGAGCGGAGGGGTACTGCACTGATTGTTGGGGTTGTTGTACCTCGGGTTGTGGTATTGGCTGAGGTAGTGGTTGTGCAACTTGTGGTTGGGGTTGAGATTGCTGTTGTGCTGGAGCTTGTTGTTGTAGTATGAGCTGGGGTTGAGCTTGTGGAAGAGGTTGTTGTTGTGGTAGAAGTTGTGGTTGTATTGGTGGTTGTTGCTGTATCTGAGGTAGCGGTTGCTGTTGGACTTGTGGCTGTAGCTGGGGTTGTTGCGGTAATGGCAATGATTCAGGGAGTGTCTGTTGCTGCACTTGCTGTTGTTGTTGTACTTGCTGTTGTTGTTGTACTTTCTGTTGTTGTTGTACTTTCTGTTGTTGTTGTACTTGCTGTAGTTGTTGTACTTGCTGTTGTTGACCATAGCTTGCCAACTGTATAAGCTGGTTTGCAAAATGTGAGCCATCATTACCACCAGCCGGTGCTATATGCTGAGTTGTAGCTGGTATTCCTGCCGCAGCAAGACGAACGGTTTGTTGTTGTGTTACTGATTGCTCTTGCTGACTTGCAAATTGATGTATGGCCTGCACTTGTGGATATGTTAAGGCTCCATTACCATATGGAATCACATTCAGCTGATAGTTGTAACCCTGTGGCGCCGCCAAGGCCATGCCAACGAATAGCAATGATAACTGTGAAGAGAAAAGGATTTCAAAAAAATGTTATGGATTTGGGAAAATTGTTACTTCTACGAACTTCGCAGTTTACTAAGACGAAGCTAGCGTACGGTGTAGATTGTCTGCCCTTCAAATGAAAGGGTATCGGTGAAAATGGACTTGATTTGAACAATGAACTATAGTTTACTCGGCCTAATGTCTTACAAGATCTTAACAGAAACCCCAAGAAATAATAGTGGGTTGATGTCATTGACTAAGCTTACATGCTATCTCTGGCGTCTGGGTTTGCTCTCTACAAGCGGGTATCAAGAAAAAGCAGGCTTTGGCTTATAGTTTGTTGCTTCTTAAGGAGTAAAGGCTTCTAATTTATGGGACGGAAGGTATGGGATCACCTATTTCAAGATGAAGAGTGGGAGTTCTTCAAAAATACTTTAATCCATTTCTACTATGTGCTCTTGCGAGATTCATGTTAAAAGCAGAGAGAAATTGAAATAATCTTGAGATCACAAAAATCTCAGTAAAGCGGTTTTTATTTCATGCCAGAAATGCACTCAAAGGATGCGCATTCCCTGATGTGGGGTAACCGCAATTGGAAAAATTAACTGTATTTTTTATTGAAATAACCCTTCGGCTTTTGCTAAGCACTTAGCGAACTTAAAGAAGTCTTTTTGGACCTTTGTCCAGGCTTGATTTAAGATCCATTAGCTTTTCCTTTCGGGCGGTCTGGAGTTTGCTGACTATTTTCACTCTTCTAAGAACTTAGTTGCGTCTAATGTTTTGCAAGTAATTTTCGCACTAATTTGCACCAGAGAGCTTCTTGTTGCGGTTTCACTTCTTTCAGTGGGACTGGCAACTTTTTAGTTACGTCATATACTGAGAGGACATCTTTAGCCAGTTTATCGACTTTCGATGCTCTGCTGAGTGTGTACAAAAAATATTTGTTCAATTTTTTTCTCCTATAGTCTTTTGAGCTCCTACTTTCGGAGCTTGCTACTGACTTTTATTAAAGTAGTGAGGTCTTAATAACCGCTTGACTATCTATTTACGCAAATGTGAGTTCTCATATTAGATGGGAAAGTTCTCAGCGGAAGCTCCTCCGATATTTTCATATCGAATCTTATCAGTTTGACAATCTGAAACACCTTCCTATCTTCAGTTGGATGAACTAAACTGCATTTCTCACTCCCACTCTTAAATCTTAACTTGAACTTTTCACACCTTCAAGGTTCAAAAGTTTTTGGAACATGCAGCAGTGATTTCGCAATTAATTATTAATATAATTGTAGTAAGCTTTCTCAGTAACTAAATCTAATTAATTAATTTCTTTGCTAAACTATATACATATATAAAAAGCTTTGTCCAGATTGACTAACAGGTCAAATCACAGGTTAAACTGTATTTCGTATCTAAGCTTCGAGAATGTGTTCTGCGTGTGACGTAGGCACCCGATAAGAAAAAAGTTTCTGTGATGTGGACCATGCACCCCTTCGTCCGCATGCAAACTCTAATTGAATTTATATAAATCAAAATATAATTAATTAATTTATTTACAAAATTATTTGATCGAAATTGTTTTAGGCACGAAGGCTGTAATCTGTGCCTGACTATAAAAATTATGGCATATTTTTAAACTTTTTTTCTCAATTTAATTTTACTCGTTCAATCGAAAACAAAGTACAAAAACTTCAAAAAAATGTAAGAATTAAAAAAAAAATTATATTTTATTATATTTCTTAGTTATGGATTTTTGTTTTGGTTTAAACCCTTATTTGAGTTTGTAAAATCGACTTCTATAACCGAAAACATTTTGCTCTGCATTCTGTGATGCATTTTTATATTAAATACTATTAATAAACTTTAACGGTGATTTTGCTTATTTCTTCCTTGTAATATACTTTTATTTTTTTCTTTCAACAACTAAACACTTGCCGAACACAAACACTCACCACAAACACACGCATCTTCAGTTACGTTCGATGCTTTACACCCAAAAAACCGTGTAAACTACGAGGATAACCTCTCCGCTGAAGTCTTTACAATGTGAATTTGAAAATGTAACTGTTAATCAAGATAGACAAAAGTGCACTTTTTATATGTCGCCAAATTAAGAAAAAGCGATATTTAACAAACTGAGCAATCGTCGCTGCTACTGGTCAAAAGGGAACCAAAATCATAATTCGGGAAAAAAGTAAATAAAGACAAATATGAAAAATAGTAATAAAAGATATGTTAAAAAAAAATTACAGAAAGCTTAAGTGTAAAGAAATTGAATAAATCCCATTAAATACAACAACAACACCCAGACGACCTAGCAGCGATCAGCGACCAGCGAACCAACTAATAATGACTAACGTCAAAATGCATAAATAATCATTTCACTGACTCTTTTTTTCAAACAATGAACTCATACATACATTTAAATTTACAGCGCTATCCATTTTGTGGTTTCGAAATTAAACGTAAAAAAATGAAATTTAAATTAATTTTTTTTTTCTTAAAATTTCTTTTTTATTATAATATTTGAGCCTTGCCATTAATCTTTTCAGAACTCGATGCGTTTCAGCTGATTTTCGAACACTTTTTGGCTTATATTGATGGGGAGCTCAGCCATAACTTGACAAATGTTGGTTTTCAAGTACACAAAAAAAAAATTCCAACTGTGCCAAATCCCACGACCTCGGTAGCTAATTGACATCGGCCGGCCGAGAGAGTTGGCAACCGGGAAATTTCACTCGCAATAAATCCATACCCTCCGTGTTGTGTGCCATGTGGCCACATTTTGTTGATTACATATGGTCAAGTCGTTTTCAATCTCGCCGTTTTCGTTTTCAAAGAAGTGAAGTTCAGTCCCACCTCAGGGCCAAAGAGCGCACCAAAAGAACGTTCTTTTGGATGTAATAGTATCTCTTCAATTATTCGAGTATTCTCGGAGGTTCAAACGCGACATTTTTGCTTAGTTACCCCGAGGGGGAAATGTACCTCGTCGCTGTATAAAATTTCGATCGAAAACTCCCCATCCATTGTTTGTTGATCAAACACCCAATCGACGTATGTCCGACGATGTGGATGCTCAGCTGGCTTCAGTTGTTCGTTGAGCTTGATTTTATATGGATCTAGGTGTAAGTCCAAGATCAAAATAAGTCATAATGTGCCATAAGATAGTCCGAGCTCATAACAGTAAATAGACACATTCGGCTCTTCGGCTATACTTTCACTTGCAGTCGCGAGATTATTCAGTGGCCTTGGAATATCTGTAACCGATCCAGTTTTGACAATTGTAACGCGTTGTGGGGTTGCTAAGCGTTTCATTTTCATTAATGCCTGATTTTTAACTAAAAACGAAAAATTTTTTGTTTGAAAGTTAAATTGAACGAATGTCAAAGTATAGCGCTATATTTTTGAAACCTTCAAATTGATAACCCTCTACATGCATATATAAATACGTAAGGGTATGTGAATAACTCCGCCTCTGTAGGTAGAGGAAATATTTGTATGACCGCAAAAAAAAAAAACCAAAGAAAAAACAGAAACATGTAATTTGGCAAATTTCCAGCTGCAACAATGCCATTTGTTGAAAGGTAAAATGGTAGCAAACTACAAATACAAATACACAAAAGGGCAATAAAAATTTGTTTCGAATTAGCAGATGTCTAAGCGGTGGCTGCGCGTTGGCAGCGGGCGGGTGTGGACGTGAGTAACCAAACGTACAACTTCGACTTCTGCAACATTTCAGCTTTAAGTCTTGCCTTAGCTCTAGTTAGCCAAATGCATAATTAGTTATATCTCTATATATGTATGTAAATTTATATGCAATTTAAAGACGCACGACCCCTGTTGTGCGGATAAAAATTAATACCAACACTTCTGTTAGCACCGGTGAGACGGTACAGTGGGTACGTAGTGAACAAGAATGAGGTAAAAGTTTGAAATTTTCTGGAAATAGCTCTAAATCTATGTATTTTAAGTGTTAATCATTTTTACTAAAGACAATATAGATATCGATATATATGAAATTGATATTCATAAAATCGAAATAATTTTTGTTTTCTGAAATCTCTGTGAGTTTTTTAAAATAAAAGTCTGCCGGGAATCGATCAGCTGAAAATAAATTTTTTACTAAATATATGAGGTGTGACAATTAAGTAATGAGACTGATTCCATAAAAACCATATATTTCAAAATAACGCTACAACTCTGCCATCCGCCTCAAAGTAGTCTCCTTGGGCAGATTCGTAACATTTCTAGAACAATTCGACTGGGATGTCCGCGAGTACCTTCGTCACGGGCGCCTAGATGTTGCAACACAGCGATACTTTTAGAGGACAAATACTGGGACACACTGATGGCGGTGTTGCACGGCACTGTTGACTCGTTTGCGCAAATTAAAGAGTTTTTCTTTGAAAAATCACACTTGGAAATATTTTTAAGAAGAAAAACAGAAGACATCTGAGGACGTGTGCGCCCAGAAAACATGAATTATCTCTTAAGATATTGACTCGATAGCAAACCAAATGGCCAGACGAAGTTACAGTAGTTGTAAGGATAATACAGGGGAAGGGACAACTTCTGTATTGGATAAAGGCAGGCTTTGGTATCACAGAACCACTTTTCTGGATGATTTTCGGCAGATGGCAAATGCCAAACTAATCAAGCTACTGAGGAGTTTTAGTGAAACCAGAGGGATGGATAAGTCATAGGGTTTGGGATATGTTATTAAGCTGGACTAGTCGATTTTCAATTTTTCGTTTTGTAAACTATTTGGATATGAGCAAATATGATTCCTATCGATAAGAGAAATACTCTAGCAATGCTTATTTCCTTTCCCAATAGAAAACAAAATACCAAAAAATTCTCTTAAACAAAAAACATGACTCAATATTTGCAGATGAGAAATAAATTAGTAGTATACAACAAAAAAAAAACTAAAGAAGAACACAGTCTTTGAACTCTCTTGTCACAGCTCTAATGCGATTAATAAGTACACCAAATAGTCTATTTTAAGCACAAAATATTTTATCCTATTTTTGCTACCTTTAAACACTGTGCGTATTTTGATAATCGCTTAAGTGTGTGGAAATGATTTACTCAGTCGATTTTATTTGTATTCGATTGTCTTTTATGTTAATTTAATACCGTTTGCTTTGAGTATTCTGTATTAGTATTGTTATTGGGTTTTATTGGCTATTATTGACACAGGCGTTCGCAGAGGGGTGCCAACCTTGTTTGTATGGTATATATAATTTCAGGGAAAGATTATTTTCTAAGGAATAATTAAACTGTTTCAACCTCTAAAAACGATTTGCTCATAAATTAATATTATTTTTTTTTTGAAAAAGTAAAAAATTATCCATTCTTTTTGTTCAAATTGTTGAATTTTATGATCTGCGTTCTATAAGTGCGATTCGATTACGGTAGATGACGTTAGAAAGGTGATATTTTATACTAAAAATAATAATGGAAGATATATTGATCACCTAACTGAGTAGTGTTCGAGCGCATGTCCAAATTGGAAATACGCTTTACTCCCGAATTTTTCTTCGATAAAGGCGAAAATACTAGTCATCCATCTGAAAACGTGAATGTTGTTTATGGTTCTGATACTGTAACAAGAAATCATGCGTTATTTCGGTATCATTGATTTCGATCCGGTAATTTTAATCTAAAAGATGTTCCATAATGTGGAAGGCCATCTGTCGGAAACTTTGATAAAATAAGGAAAAGTCTAGTCCGAGTTCTAGGAGCTAAACGTTGCACAAAACACATTTCGAAACCACGTTAAAAAGGCTAGGTACGTAAAGAAGCTCATAGAGGTCACATCAGTTAACGAAAACTAACCTTATAAATATGCGAATCGCTACTGAAACGTAACTAAATCTACCCATTTCTGAGGCGAATGGTGACTGGTGATGAAAAAATAGCTGACTTATAGTAACGTCAAGCGAAAACGGGTGAGGGTAAAGGGCAATGAGCCGGCCCAAATAGTGACCAAGCCATGGCTGACGACCAGGAAGGTTTTGTTGCGCGTTTGTTGGAGTTGGCAAGGAATCATGCAGTATGAGCTGTTCCCCTACGACTAAACTCTTAATTTGGACTTTTGCTGACAGCAATTGGTGTGTCCAGGGCAGCATTTGGCCAGAAGCGTCAACAGGAGGGGAGTTTTGTTTAATTAAGACAACACACACATCGAAGTTTGAAGTTCCGATAGCTTGATTCGGAGGTTCTTTTGAATTCACCTTATGGTCTGGAGCTTGCATCAAACGATTACCAACTGTCCCTGCCTAATTGGCTGGTCAAAAATTGACCTCAGGTCGATTGTCCCAAATTTTTACCTGTAGGGCCAATGGTTTGCATGAGAGAGACATATGGATGCCACGTTCAAAATAGCAAAAATTTATCGAGCAAAATAGCGTATATATAATTGACGTTATGTAACTGCTGAAGCGATTTTTGTCCGAAAAAAAAGATAAAAATACATTTGAGATAAATCAGATTATTCGAACCATAGTATTTATATAAGGATTCAAATATATTGGATTACCTTTTACTTGATCAAAAATTTTAGAAAATTTATAATAATTACATAAGAAAATTTTTTTAGCCATTCTGGGAATGAAAAAACTGTTTCTTTAAACATTCTTTTTATGATTTTGATTTTTTAAATAGTGAAATCTTTTCATGATTTTTTAGTTTCAACTTTCTTTTCTTTAATATTATAGTACCTTTTGCCGCCCTTGCAGCTTATTTAAATCTACGCCACTGCTTCTGGCTCTTTACCTCATATCCCGACTGGATTTTTTCTTTCTTTTTATTTGTTGCTTACGAAAAAGTGGCATAAAAATTTATAACCATTTTTGATGAATTAATACATAATGCTTTTGAGCTCATTCGAATATGCTTTAAATGGCTTCGATATAATTAAGTGGCAGTTGAGTTGGATTAAGCGTTATTTAAATGTACATAGTAATATGGTAGCGACCTCAATTAAAATAGCAAAGGCAAATAAATTGAAAATGAATATGTAAATTGTTTAATATGATTTTTGT